ATATCTCTCTCCTTCGTCCATCCTCTCTTCCATTCCGCCCCAACGCGTCGCGCCACGTGCGTTCCTACGCTCTGACACTTAAATATCAGACGCTGTCTCCCCGACAGACCTGGTCTTCACCCGAGGACGGCTGCTTGCGTTGTGGCCGAAACGTCGTGAGAATTATTTTATTATGTTTTATTTTTATTATTTTATTACTTCCCTCTCTACGTGACTTTACCGAAAGAACCAAGAAGATGAAGCTCTGACACTTTCCACTTGATCGCGACCACCATTCCCGAACGCTGCTGTCCTAACCCGTTCCTGGCCGGGTAACGTCAATCCAAACCTCCCCCCCCACCTCCACCTCCACCCATCCGCCCCTTCTACCCTCCAGCCCCAGGGTGTCCACGTCGCTTTGATCATCGCCCATGCTGCTCTGTTCGCCCCTAAACAGCAGGGAGGCCGTTCAAAGGCGCTCGCGAACGTCAACAGGTTCCAGCCCCTTTGCCTCCTGCCGATTTCATACAAACAACGGGCTCATTAGAGGCTGGTCAACACCTGCGCGTGTGTTTCGACGATAGCCAGGAGAGGGGAGAAGTACAATGCCGCAGGGCAGACACGGGGCCCGAGACTTCGTGCCAACGAAGCTTGCAAGGGAAAAGGTTACGGCCCAGCAAATTGGTCGCCGATGCCAGAGAAGTAAACCCGCGCGTGCGAGGGCGCAACGCTCTATCCCACACACACTGAGCAGGCTTGAGATAAGTCGACACTTTGCCCGTGCCGACGTCTCCTAGCGAGCCAATGGAGTTTGGCAACGTCCGTGCGGTGATCCATCAACTCTCGCTGCTGCCTCCACGGCGTTTGATGACTGGCAACCACGAGTAGCAGCAGCGTAGTCACCACCACCATCATCATCAACACCATCACCACCACTACCATCACCACCACCATCATCACCACCATCACCACCATCACCATCACCACCATCATCATCAACACCACCATCACCACTACCATCACCACCACCATCATCACCACCATCACCACCATCACCACCACCACCATCATCATCAACACCACCATCATCACCACCATGACCACCACCATCACCACCACCATCACCACCATCACCACCACCATCACCACCACCATCACCACCATCACCATCACCCACTCCATCACCACATCACCACCACCTGCCATCACCACCATCACCACCACCATCACCACCACCATCACCACCACCATCACCACCACCACCATCACCACCACCGCCATCACCACCACCATCATCACCACCACCATCATCACCACCACCATCACCACCATCACCACCATAACCATCACCACCACCACCACCACCATCACCACCACGACCACCACCACCACCATCACCACCACACCCATCACCACACCCATCACCACCACACCCATCACCACCACACCCATCACCACCACCATCATCACCACCACCACCATCACCACCACCACTACCATCACCACCACCATCATCACTACCACCATCACCACCATCACAATCACCACCATCACCACCACCGCCATCACCACCACCATCATCATCACCACCACCATCACCACCACCATCACCACCATCACCACCACCACCATCACCGCCATCACCACCGCCGCCGCCTGGCTTAGCAATAACAGGAGCAATTGGGTGCCAATTATTTATCGCCGTCCGACCAAGTCAGCTCTGAGAACTGCGAGGCAACGCCTGTTGATTGCTTCTTTTGATGTTTCTTTTGATCCAGCTGCTGGGACGCCACGGTGGCTAGGAGATGTTAACTGCCTCTGCCTGGTGTGCAGGAGGTCGTGGGTTCGATCTCGACCCTGACGCCTGCTGCTGTATATTTGGAGTTTGCGTGTCTCTCTCTCTCTCATCATCATCACGGTGGCTAGGAGATGTTAACTGCCTCGCCTGGTGTGCAGGAGGTCGTGGGTTCGATCCCGACTCTGACAATGCCTTGTGTATATTTGGAGTTTGCGTGTCTCTCTCTCTCATCATCATCACGGTGGCTAGGAGATCTTAACTGCCTCGCCTGGTGTGCAGGAGGTCGTGGGTTCGATCCCGACCCTGAAGCCTTCTGCTGTATATTTGGAGTTTGCGTGTCTCTCTCTCATCACCATCACGGTGGCAAGGAGATGTTACTGCCTTGCCTGGTGTGCAGGAGGTCGTGGGTTCGATCCCGACCCTGACGCCTGCTGCTGTATATTTGAAGTTTGCGTGTCTCTCTCTCTCTCATCATCATCACGGTGGCTAGGAGATGTTAACTGCCTCGCCTGTGTGCAGGAGGTAGTGGTTCGATCCCGACTATGACAATGCCTTGTGTATATTTGGAGTTTGCGTGTCTCTCTCTCTCTCATCGTCATCATCACGGTGGCTTAGGAGATGTTAACTGCCTCGCCTGGTGTGCAGGAGGTGGTGGGTTCGATCCCGACTCTGACAATGCCTTGTGTATATTTGGAGTTTGCGTGTCTCTCTCTCTCTCATCATCATCACGGTGGCTAGGAGATGTTAACTGCCTCGCCTGGTGTGCAGGAGGTCGTGGGTTTGATCCCGACTCTGACAATGCCTTGTGTATATTTGGAGTTTGCGTGTGTTTCTCTCTCTCCTCGTGGTCGTGTGGATTTTTCTCCGGGTCCTCCGAGTTTCTCCCCTCCACATTTAGGATAAACGTGCGCTTTCGAGCCATTTGGCTGCTATTAATGTCCACACGATAAGCCACTTCGTTGAGCTATCATTTACGATAGCCAAGTAGCTTCTGATAAAAAAAATAGCTATATAGTTCAGTAGGCCTTAGTTGGTCAAAGATGAAAACGTATTTTAGTTTAGATGGAGAGCAACCTCTTGGCGCAGGACGTTTGATTACGGGACGCGATGGAGCTGAATACGCAACCAGAATGATTCCATTCTTCACAGGAGTGGCCTTTAATTGGCCACGGGTTTGCTCCGTTTGATGTTAACAATGTAGTGGGTGATTATATGTTGCCATCTAAGTTTTATTACCGTTCAATTAACGCTGATTGAGTGGCAGCGCCGAGACACGCGTGCTCTCTATTTGCAGTTTCGTTACACGCGCGGCGTAATCGTTATCGGTCACAAACATTAATCACAAAGTATTTTTCATAATTTTTTTATTAGCAACATTCACGATCAATGTTTTAAATCCTCTATATTAAGTTCACTTGCTTGCTTGCGTGCTTGCGTGCTTGCTTGCACGCTTACGACCGTGCAAATCTTTCGGTCGTTTTTACCCACTTCCCGTGATCCAATGGAGCTGACATTTTGCACACAGACTCGTTGTGCGTGACAATTAATTTTCGTGAAATTTTTTTTCCAAATTTTACACTGTTTAGGGGAAATTTTTTCAATATTTAATTACCAATTGCTTAATGGTGGCAGACAATCATCTGACCCATAGGTGGCAGCCAACTCAAGCCAGAGGACGAGAGGACTCTAGCCGCCCCGATGCCACGCATATAAAGGATTTATAGTGAAAAAACTTTGTTTTTACGGGTTAATTTTTTTGTTTGTTAGATCGCGTAAATGTGTTGTCCATCCTGCGGTGAGGATGACTCCGATCATCCCTCGCAGCAGCGGCATTTGGCTAAGCTACCGCATCGCACGGCGCTTTCAGATGCGCTCCTGAGGCCGTCTGGAACGTTCTTCTTTCTTCCTTCCCACATTAGGAAGCCGCCCGAGCTAATCACTTTGAAATCATCGTCTATGTTGACAAAACTCATTTCTTTAGAACTGCTTTTTGTGTTGAGTTTTGCAAAAGTACTTCAACATACACACAACAACAACAAACGCCATTCGACACTAAGTGGCGGTGACGTCACCACGGCGCTTGTGCCAGGCAATGTTCACGTTGAGGCCATACATACATACAACACACACATACACCCGACACGGCCAATTAGTAAGATGTGTTTACTATTTCAGCACCACCGGCTGTGTGTTGGAGATCAATTCCACGCACATTACAATTGAGTTAAAGACGCTTCGCTGGTGATTACAACAACAAAAACGATGGTGACGCCGGCTCTCTGCATGAAATCACACAAAGGCAACGACAAAAATACCCCGTATAGTCCTTAACAGACTATTGGAGCAAGTGCTGATAGCGAGCACCTATGAAGGTCAGAACGGCACACAACGGGGTGGGTGGCCAGCACCACACCCGGCCGCCTTTGTCTCCCTAGTGGTGATGTTGAGTACACAACCGCAACCAAGTACTCATTATAGGCTGAGTCAACCTAGGGGAGGCCCAGGACCGGTTCAGATAATCGTCACCAATGTTGGCCGTGAGCGGAATCGAACTCGGGTCGCCGGGTTCGTAGCGCATCGCGCTAATCGCTACACTATCACTCCCACACAACAACAACAACAACCGCCATTCGCCACTAAGTGGCGGGACGTCACCACGACGCCTGTGCCAGGCCAAGTGCACCTTGAGGCCACGTGAAGTGTCGAACGCCCGCTGGCAGGAGGTCACGGGGCAGACCCAGCAGGTGCCACGGGTCGACTGACCGAGCTGACCGAGATGACTGGCTGATGCACCACCTGTGCCCCTACTGTACCAACTTGCTGTGCTTTAGCCACCCGGCGTTCCGCTCGTTGTTGTGAGCGTCGCTCCTCCGCCCTCCGTTGTTGTTGGAGGGCGACTGCCTCCTACTGCCCAGTAGCGTCCTTCACGAGCCTCCTCCACTGAGGCCGATCTTGACACCGCTGGCACCGGTCATCACTCCCACACACACACAGACAGACACACGCCACACACGCAAAGCACACACTCACACACACAGACACACATCCACACAGAAGCAATCATCGCGCGCCGCTACTGGCAAACCACTGCCCCAGCTGGTCATCTTCGCAAATGAGACTCTGGTCTCTTGAGTTCTCACCTGGTTAAACGAAATAAACTTGAAACTAAAAGAGGTCACGGTTGCGGAGAGGAGCGATTCTCCGCGTGAAACGCAGCATTTGCCTAACCACCGCCGCCGCTGTTGTCATCCTCGTTATCACTTGCAACCACGTGCCGGAAGAGCTTTTTTCGCGGAAGCCTGCTGACAGCGAAACGTCGGACGTCGCTCACAACACAACCACGGAGGTTACTGGCTACTCGCGTTCGACTTCACAACGAGAAACGAGGGCCGCGCGTAGCAGCACGTGTTTGGCCAATGTAAAGTTGAATTGATTTGGGGGTTTTTGTTCTTTTTAAATCCTTTATATTAAGTTCGCTTGCTTGCTTGAGTGCGTGCTTGCGTGCTTGCTTGCTTGCTTACGACCGTGCAAATCTTTCGGTCGTTTTTTAACCCACTTCCCGTGATCCAATCGAGCTGACATTTTGCACACAGACTCGTTGTGCGAGACAATTAATGTTCGTGAAATTTTACACTGTTTAGGGAAAACAAATTAAATATTTAATTACCAATTCCTTAATACTGGCAGACAATCATCTGACCCATAGGTGGCAGCCTTCTCAAGCCAGAGGACGAGAGGACTCTAGCCGCCACGCATATAAAGGATTTATAGTGAAAAACTTTGTTTTTACGGGTTATACTTGTTACATGCTGTCACTTCGTCGATAATAAAATAATAATCCACCAGCAACTGGTTTGTGTCAACGCTCGTAATGAGAATAGGGTTTTCCCCCTGTTTTTCCAGCAACAAAACAGGTGTTAGGACACCTAACAGAAAGCGTTTACAAGGAATCATGTCTGCATTGACCGCAATGCTTGTGGTCAGAATGCAATGAGAAAATACTCTGATAATATATGCATTTTTACGAGGCCTCCTTTGCCAGTACCAAATATACTAATAGGGGTTTTTCCCCTTTTTTTCTGGCAACAAAACTGACACTTTTTGCAAGGAATCATGTTCACATTAACCACATACTTGCAGTCAAATGCAAACACAAAACAATACTCTGATAATTTAGATGCTTACCCCGAGCTCTCATTACTCTGGTAGGTGCGTTGTCTTTGAACTGTTCGTTTTTTAGGCGTCATCTGGTCGAACACCATATGAGACTCGGCTCTAAGAAAATCTGTCTCTGGTGTGGACCAATCAGTTTCAAGGACAATGCATAAATGATCAGAGTATTGTTTTTGTTTGCATTTGACTGCAAGTATTGTGGTTAATGTGAACATGATTCCTTGCAAAAGGTGTCAGTTTTGTTGCCAGAAAAAAGGGGAAAAACCCTATTAGTATTAATATATGCATTGCATATATTTTTAGAGTATGTTTTTTGTTTCCATGTTTTTTGTTTGCATTCTGACCACAAGTATTGTGGTTAATGCAGAAATGATTCCTTGTAAAATGTTTCAGTCTGGTGTTTTAACATCTTAACACAACTGTTTGTTGCCAGAAAAAAGGGGAAAACATATTCTCATATTTTGGTACTGGCAAAGGAGGTCCCATGATGGCAACGCTCGTCATACTATTTGTTTTTTTCGGTAAAGTCACGTAGGTAAAAACGAAAATAAATAAATTAAATCACGACGTTTCGGAGGTAACACAAGCTTCCGTCTTCAGGCCTCCGTCTTGTGTTGCCTCCGAAACGTCGTGATGTAATTTATTTATTTTCTTTTTTACCTACGTGACTTTACCGAAAAAAACAAAGAGTATGGACCCTTGCAGTCACGAAAACTTCAAATCTAGAATGAACGCTGGTCATGTTTTTTTACAAACCACGCCAGGTTCTCTCCTACAAGCCGTGCCAACCTGCACACCCCCCTTGCCACAACCCCCACCCTTCTCGCCAGCTCACCCGGACACCCGAGTTCGATTCCCACTCACGAGCCACCAAAATCGGTGGCTACTATCTGAACCGATCCCGAGTCTCCCCCAAGTCGAATCAGCCTCAAATGAGCACCTGGTAGCGGTGTGTAAACATCGCCACTGGGGAGACAAAGGCGGTCGGGCGGTGGGTCCTGGTTACTCACCCCCTCGTGTGCCTTGCTCGGCCTTCATAGGTGCTCGCTAACAGCACTTGCCCTATCAGTCTGTTGAGGTTATATGGGGGTCTTTGTCTTTGTGTCCAGTATATATTTCGCTGATCTTGATTTGAAGCTTTCGTGACTGCAGAAAATCCATATTCTTTGGTCCTTTCGGTAAAGTCACGTGGGGTATAAAATGAAATAAATCACGACGTTCCGTGCGCAACACAAGCGTCCGTCATCAGGACCTACGTGACTTTACCGAAAGAATCAAAGAGTACATATTTCTCTGAGTTTACTGATTCGATCGTAATACTGAGTCGAGGTTATCTGACAACTCTCGCACGAACAATGAATCGCTTGTTTGCCACGCTGGGTCATTGGCGTGCTCCGACTGGATGCAATTGAACTCCGACGCGTATGCGAGATGTTAACTTACCTCGCCTGGTATACAGGAGGTCGCCGTCGTTGCCGATCACTACCCTGACCTCTCTGCTGTATATTTGGAGTTTGCGTGTGTGTGTGTGCGTCTCTCTCTCTCTCTCTCGCTCCCGGCGTTCGCGAGTATTTTTTTCACATATTGCACCGGGATTCTCCTCCGCAATTTAGAAACACGCGTTTGGAGTGATTTGGCTGCTGTACATTTGCACGTGGTGAGACGCCGTCTCCGTTGAGCTGTCGTTCGCGATAGCCAGGTCGCTCCTGAAAAAGAGCCACATCAAATAAAAAACTATTTTCTTTTTTAGTTTAGATGATAAAATTAACGTTTAGTACCCAGGCATTGAAGTGATTTTCTCCCCTGGGTCTCATCAGAGTGTGTTTTGTCTGCGTCTCTGTGGTGTAACTCAAAGGATATCGCGTCTGCCGTGTAGTTTTTTTTAATTGTTGTTGTTGTAATAGTAGAGATTCCAAGGGCAGGTGTCCGTGCGTATGTTCGACTCTTCTCGTGGACTAGGTGACGGGAATGACTCCACGAGATCCAACACTCCAGAGCAGAGTTCTTCATTGCAAGGTACCAGCGCGAGGCCAATGGCTGACCTCTGGAGGTCTTTCGTGCGCCTCCCCCACCCCCGACAATACACCTGATCCGTGCGTGCGAGGGGGAAACACTCTATCCCAGTGTTATTCATTGCAAGGCACCCGCGCGGGCCACTGGCTGACCCTTGGATGACTTTAGTGCGCCCCCCCCCCCCGACAATACACCTGATCCGTGCGTGCGAGGGAGAAAACACTCTATCCCAGTGTTCTTCATTGCAAAGCCCCCGCGTGCCACGGGCGAACACGTGGACAATACACAAAAGTGACAACACCAACACCCTCCCCCCCATCATCGTGTCGCTGTTACAAACCCACCAATGGTTTCCAATGTGTAGCGGCTGCCCCTTTCTCGCTCACACTGATGATGTCCTATGGGCGAAAGTGGCCCACACCCCCACCGCACTACCGACTAGCCGTGACTACAACACTGAGTCGTCGACTTGAACTCGTTCTGTAGCGAGTAGCCCTGACACAGTTGGAGGACTCGGGGGGGTGGGGCGAGGGGCGGGGCTGGGGTTGGGAGGGGTGGCGGGGAGGGAGACTTGGCACAGGAACACAAACGCCAGGAATCATTGCTGAGTCTCGTTTAAAAGGCGACAAGCTCCGTGGAAAGCTCCGTGAATAATTTAAAAGGCCCCAAACTTCGGTGCTCTCTTTCGGTAACGAGTGGCGCTTCTCGTGACGGGCACAGGCGCAGCCCTGCAAGTGCCTGCTGTAGGCGCTTCCAGCACGGGGAAGATCACGGGGAGAGAGTTCCCTTCGCGTCGGGGATATTCGCACCGACGCCTTCTGCGTCTGGCACCGATGTCTCTGAAGGCATTGGCTGGACATCTGCGGCAAGCAACAAACGAAGAGCTTTCATGCCTCATCGGATTCCTCCGGGAAACACAAATCGTGATTCTGATTCTGAAGAGGTTTGGCGTTCGCTGTGAGCCTCTCGTCACGCCGGATGATTACTGTGGTCTTAGTCCCTAGCACAGGACCGACCTGCCTGTAGAAGAAAAGTACAGGACGGTGCAGTCCTCTGTGAGAGTAGGAGACGCTCCTGTGCCATCTTGAAGAGGCAGCAGCGCAAATCTACCAAGGAAGGACGTGTGGCTGCACCTCAGAGCTCTACTCCCTCCCTGACCTGCTGTCCAGTGTGCCACAGGGAATTCCGGGCTCGGATTGGCCTCTTCAGCCATCTGCGCACTCATCAAAACCCAACAAAATGACAAACGTGCCATGGTCATCATCAACTTTGATGGACGAACAAGATTCCTGAGTTAAAAAATTAATGAATACAAAATAAATAAATGCAAATTAACAACAACAACAACAATAACAAAACACTTAGCTGGGATTCTATTCACTTTTCTTCCAGAAGCCGATGTCACGATTCAGCCGTCGATGTTTGGGTTGGGTTCCGGGCCGCGTGCGCAACGATTCGGACAAAACCTCCATCGCTTATGTGCACCACGTGACGATGTCATTTGGCTGTGTCGGGGTGGTGGAGGGTAATTTGGCTGTGTCGTGGTGGTGGAGGATCATCACGTCTCTCTTCCCCGTGAGCCGCGTCCTCTCTCACAGACTTCCGCTATCCGTGAGCGTTCCGTCCAATCAGCTCTGTCCGTGATATTTTTAAATCCTTTATATTAAGTTCACTTGCTTGCTTGCTTGCGTGCTTGCGTGCTTGCTTGCTTGCTTACGACCGTGCAAATCTTTCGGTCGTTTATTAACCCACTTCCCGTGATCCAATGGAGCTGACATTTTGCACACAGACTCGTTGTGCGTGACAATTAATTTTCGTGAATTTTTTTTTCCAAAATTTTACACTGTTTAGGGAATTTTTTTTAAAATATCTTATTACCAAAAGCTTAATGGTGGCAGACAATCATCTGACCCATAGGTGGCAGCCATCTCAAGCCAGAGGACGAGAGGACTCTAGCCGCCACGCATATAAAGGATTTATAGTAAAAACTTGTTTTTACGGGTTAATTTTTTAAATCCTTTATATTAAGTTCACTTGCTTGCTTGCTTAGGACCGCGCAAATCTTTCGGTCGTTTTTAACCCACTTCCCGTGATCCAATCGAGCTGACATTTT